TTACTTCTCACCACTGAACAGGCTCCACATGTAAAGATGTGCTTAATATGGAAAACCACCACAATCAGACAGTATTCAGGGGTCGTTTTTAATGCGTTTAAGTAATTAAAAAATCTTTAACAAAATAAATATCCTGCAATAAAATAGTCAACAGACATATACGATGCTTTACACTCTACAAAGCCGGTGTTAAGAACATGCCACGGAGTCGATTAGTTTTGTTGCACGCATCGGGACGAAATCAGGGGAAATCCAACCAAGAGTTCAGTTTAACAACAAGCAATGAAACGCTGGGTTTCTATTAATGACAGGATGAAATATTACACGCTGCTGTTACATCAGCCAAGAATAAGAGAAGGTAGTTGCTGCACTTTGGGAGATAAAAACCAAAGTAATGTGCTTTTAATTATGTGATATCGGTCACCGTTTATCTCAGCTGGAGGAGAAACACTCCTGTGTATGTTTTACTGCTTCAATCTGGAGAGAAGCTCTTTGAATGTTTTACTGCTTCACTGAACTGTTTGAGCATTCGCGGGTTTGGAGAGCAGCTTTTTGAACGTACCCAGTGTACATAAATAGTCATGTGATGGCTACTAGCATCCCCAGGAATTATCTCTAGCTGCTATTCTAAAATGAAAACACATTTGTTTGGATGCGGCCTCAGTGAGGTTGCAGATCAACTGAGTGCTCCTCATGCTCCCCTTCTGAGTTTGAATCTCTAAATGTTGCTCAAAACATAAAAATCCTGTCTAGAGTGGGTGTTTTGTTAGAAAACTGGTGGAGCAACATGGCGGGCTCAGTGGAAGAAGACCTGCCCCCTCTGTAGATATGGAGGGCTCATTTAAGGCTCATGAGAACATCGTGATTCATAGTTGCAGATCGTTACACACTAATGGAAACATAAAATCAATATTATTTTTCATTTCTACCTAAAGATCCCCCTAAAACCCTCCACACTGGTCCTTGAAGTAATGTGGTGTAGTGCCAGCATTTTAAAACCCTGTCTTGTTCAGTCACTCAAAGACTGTGGTTCATGAAAAGGTGAACACACCACCACAGTTCACACACCTCCATGTTTCCACCGTGCCAGTAATAAAGGACGCATTACTTCTTGCATTGTCACTGAAGATGAAGTGAAATCTGAGGGACATCGATACAAGCACAGACTAATAACTGCTGTGAGATCAAATAAAATAAGAAATGCTTTATTGCTCCTCAGGGGAACTTTGTCAGACAATTATATCATATCTCATATGTTATACACTGAAAATGAGCAAGTCACAGCTTGTTAGCTAACAAACAATTCTCATTGTTACATGTCTTGGCCCGTGTTTAATCCTCTTATATAAGTGATGTTTTAGCAGTCAAATAGGATGTTCAGAGGGTCATCACAGGACCCCACACATAATATAGGATTCTATGTCTCTGACAATGATTTACCTTCTACAGTTTTGTAATCTGGATGAGATGAGACTTAAAGGGATGAAAATGAAAGCACAATTTTGATCACTTCAGCCAAACTGTTTGAAAAAAGTGTTTCCGTTAAAAAAATGTCGATCTTGATATTTCACTCTTAAAGAAATCAAATAAACATATTCCACAAAACGGGCTGCCAGGTGGCTCGGTGGTTCGCACCGTCGAAGAAGATCCTTGGTTCACATCCCAGTGAGGACACCCGGGATCTTTCTGCGTGGAGTTTGCATGTTCTCCCCGTGCAGCGTGGGTTCCTCCCCACAAGTCCAAAAACATGTTGAGGTTAATTGGTGATTCTAAATTGTCTGTAGGTGTGAATGTGAGTGTGCTTGGTTGTCTGTCTCTAAGTGTAGCCCTGTGATAGACTGGTGACCTGTCCAGGGTGTCCCCTGCCTTCACCCTGAGTCAGCTGGGATAGACTCCAGCCCCCCATGACCCTAGTGAGGATTAAGCAGTGAATAGATGATGGATGGATGGATGTTCCACAAAATGCTTTACTACACTTTCTCCCACCTGGTGGTCTTTGAATGTAGGGAACTACAGATACTAACTTCTGAGGAGATGATGATGACAGTGATGATGGTACTGATCCACTTAAATGGTTATATTTCATATTTGTAGAGGACGAATATACACTAAATAAATATTTCTGTTTTACAGTCCCACGTCTTTGCATCATTTCATGTCAGGGACGCTTTGACACGTTGGAGGATTAAGTAAAGGTGCTAACAAATATAAATAAAGACAAACAGCGACATGGTTAATATATATATACTATATATACTATATTATTATTCACATTCAGACAGTGATTTGTAAAGCTCTGACATCATATGAAAACCTCACAACTCCAATTCAAATTTGAGTAATTGACACGATCTGACCAGCGGTTCCAGGTTTATGCTCAATTTTATCCTTCGCAAACATTTTTTAAGCCATTAGCTTTCTTTTTTAAGTTGATTTCAAACATAAGCCCAAACTCCAAACAACATACTGACTCCAGACAGGTTTTTAGTTTGCAGTGTGTTCACCCGAGAAAAGCGACGTCATAATTAAGCAGAAACTATGCAGATGAAAGTATTTATGCAGCAACATTTCAATGTTCCATGTTTTGTTTTGTTTACATTTTCTGATGCAGCAAAATAATAAGGATCACTGATACTTCTGTATGCTAACAGCTAAGCTAGCAGCAGTACCAACAGCAACCGCTCAGTACAAGAAAGCACTCGATTCACATTATACTTCTCATTATGTTCATAACAGCTTATTCTTCGTCAGTCAAACCTAGAAAAACGTGGGGCACTAGTAGACAGAAATAAATCGGAGATTTCAGGAGTAAAGTTTAAACATTTTGAAGAGAAACTTTTCATGTTTTTTGAAAAAATCTAATAATACTATAGGATGAAACTGCAATTAATTGAAAATATACAAGCAAAGGTGACAAATTCTGTGAAGAAGTTGTAATCTTTTAAGAACAAATTTAGATTCTGCAAGAAAAATTTTCCATTTCCGGATAAATCTGGCGCTGTACTAACCGACTGCAAAGGAAAAAATGTAGTGTTTTAAGAAAAAAGTCAATATATTACAAGATCAAGCTGCGTTCATATGAAAAAAATAGCAAATATACCAAAAAGTCTTTAAATTTCAAGATAAAGTCAGAATTTGTGTAAAAATGCTGCAATATTTACACATTAAGATGCATCAAGAGTCATTTCAAGATAAATGTAATTTCACAACCATAAATAAACGAACATCTATAAATTGTGTTCATGCACATTTAATACAAACTAAATAATATAGTTATAACATAAGGCATGTACTCTTTATTCTTGTAATATCATCAAATATGGTGTCTTTACCTGCAAAAGTCTTAATCTATAATAAAAAAGGTTGTTTTCATCTGTTAAAGTCACAACTATCTTGTAATATCACAACTTTGTTCGATCCAACTACAACCTTCTCATAAAGTTCACTTCATTAAATGACAACTTTTCCACAGAATGTTGGAACTTTTTCTCCTGAATCCTGATATCTACTAGAGAGCCCCTGGAAGATCTCAGAATGCTTCACATGAGGTTTAAAATGGTCCTTGCCTGGCAGAATAATAGATTACTGTATTACTTTTTGTGTAACTGTTGGCTGTAATTGCCTCAAACAGGTCTGCAGACGTTCTTCTGTGTTTTAACTCATTCAGACAAACTCAGAAGTTTCGGTGATTTTGGAATTGTGAGGTTTTCAGCTGAGAACACTGGTGTCGTATTTGACTGTGTGTTTTCTGTCCCACAGCTGAGATCATCTAATAACAGTAAAGGTCACAGGTTCGACTCCTTCAACTCTTAAAGTATCTGAGCTGGACAGTGAGCTGCTGCTTATGCTGCTGTGGATGAAGACATCAGCCAAATGCTGTCAAGATGAGCTTGTCAGTGGTCACACATGTATCCCAACACTTCACCACCATTACATTTACACAAACAAACACTGTACACGTCCGAAGTGTACGGACGATCTAAAGGGTCCATTATTTGATATTTCTGATACATTAGGACTTCCGTTCAGAAGAGCTGCTGTTACTGTTGTGCCTCTTCTCTCTCAGGTCTGATGTTTGAGGGCGTGTCTGCTCCTTTTTTCCCAGAATGCAGCTCTGTACCTCTTCATTCGTTTGTCAGTCTTCCTCTTCACAAGAGCATTTTCATCTCTGAGGAGAAAAATGGAACAACAGGTTGTTTCACCGCTCTGTGCAGTATTTGTCTTAATTAGTGTGCGTGTGAATGCGTCCTTACTGTGGTTGTGTCTCGGTGGAGCAGAAGCTCAGGCACCTGGCGTCCTGTGAATCTGAGCAGTGGCAGCGGCTGAGTTCCCTCCTGAGACGCACTGAACCAAATCCATAAGGCACCACGTGGCTGGAAGACAGAGTCAATGTTCACGCTCAGATCTCACCGTAAGGCCACAAACATGATGCATGCAAGTGTGTAAATGGCGATGCCTAGAGGGTGCAAACATGTGCCCCCAATGAACAGAATCAACTCCTCAGGAAGATGAAACCACATTCACACCTAACCACAAAAGACCTTAACGCACCCCATTGTGGCAGGGGGAGCACTTACGACCCACATAACGAGGGGGAGGAGCAACAAGCTCCCTAATTGAAACCGAGATCAGATGTTAATGACTCCTTAATGTTATAAGTATCTGGAACTCCCAACTAGTCAGTCAGGTGGTGAAACGTCTTCTAGGAACTGAAGCAAGTCTAGTTGCTACGATTACTCTACGAGAACAACCATGAGCTGGATGACTGAGAGTCTTCACAGACACGAACAGAATCAGTGTTTCGGTCTTGTTCAGTCTGTGCAGTAGTGACTGGATGTGGGATCTCAAAACTCCAGAAACTCCCTTTCCAGCACTGGGTCACTGCTGCACACAGTGTGGTTGAACATGGCCATACATCACCAGAACAAGGCACCACTATCCATTCCTGCCATGTTTTGGCTTCACTTTTGGACAGTTGGAGTTGTGGTGACTCCTCGTCTGTGTCATACAATGCACACACTGGTGGATGTGATCAGTCTTAGTCCTTAAGGAGACTAGTTAAAGCTTATTAGTGTTTCCATGACCACAGACATGGCATCTCTACCACTGCTGATTACTTCACAGGACAAAGACAGAAGGAAACGGCAGCAGACCGGATGTGCAACCTTTGAATTGCAGATGGAGTATTGCTGTGTAAAACCCGTCTTCAGATTTCATGCTATAAAGCTGCAGGACTCCGGCTGCTGTTTGTGTTAAGATTTTTGAGGTGGCGCATTCCACAAAACATCAACGCATGAAATCAGAGCTTGATGCATTACCACAAGTCATCAGCAGCTCGGGCTTGTTCCAGCGGTCACTGGGTTAAAGCAGGGGTGGAAGAACTAGTCGGTTCCCTGCTTTCAACATTGTCAACCCGTGAATGTCCACAGGGGAATTTTACTTAAAGTACGAGCTGAGCTAAGCACCAATCCATGGAAATTCTTTAAATCTGTCAAAGTAGGAGACTGTAGTGCAAGTTTTATTTTAGCCATTAGTCACAAGGGGTTACTCCTTTTTAAAAAAAATTCACAAAAATGCTTTAGAAGCACAGATTCCGATGATCACATGTTCAAAAAATGTTATGCACTTTTGAACCAGACAGGCATAAGTAAGAATCAATAATAAAAAAAGATTTTCCAGAGCACCTGTAGGGAGAAATTATTAGAATGTCGCTTCATGAGTTCCAGGCTTTATGGCCATGGCTGTTTTCTGACTGAATACTGCATAAAACAGAAACTCAGACAGTTACATAAAATGCTTCGTACCACTGGATTAAAAACACAACCTTCACATACTGTATATGTTCATTAGTCATCAATGGATGAAGTAGAAATAAAAAATGTATGTATATACTTAATGTATCAAGCTTACAAGACTGACAATGCAGTCAAATGTCTCATATACAATCATACATGATAGCTGTAACAGTGATGCATCAGTGTGTCTGCAGAATTTTACTGTGTAGTTGGTGCACCTGGTTCCATACAGTTAGCTAGTCCAGAGCAGTTTTTTCTAAATTCTGGGTCCTCCGAGAAATCTGAGGGGTCTTGAAATGATTAGGAAGACAATTTGGACTTGAGATTTTTGAAATAGATGTAATTGATAATTTGAACTTTTAAGAACAAATAAAACAACACGAGGGCTGCAAGGTGGCGCAGTTGGTAGCACTGTTGCCTCGCAGCAAGAAGGTTGCCGGTTCGCGTCCCAGTGGGGGCACCGGGGATCTTTCCGTGTGGAATTTGCATGTTCTCTCCGGGTTCTCTGGCTTCCTTCCACAGTCCAAAAACATGTTGAGGTTAATTGGTGATTCTAAATTGTCTGTAGGTGTGAATGTGAGTGTGCTTGGTTGTCTGTCTCTAAGTGTAGCCCTGTGATAGACTGGTGACCTGTCCAGGGTGTCTCCTGCCTTCACCCTGAGTCAGCTGGGATAGACTCCCGCCCTCCATGACCCTAGTGAGGATTAAGCGGTGTATAGATGATGGAGGGATGGATGGAAAACAACATGAGAAGTTTACGAAGGCTGTGTCTCTTTGTCAGAGGTAGGCTGTCTACTGTCCCAAAGAGTCAGTCAGATGTCTTCACAGTGTCACAGTTTATGAAGTGGCATGGCAATGGTAAAAGTACAGATCTGAACTCCTGTGATTCAGGGGATTCAAACGAGAATATGGCAAGTATATTAACTATGATCAATACTTTTTTTTTCACTAGACACAAACGGGATTCTCTAAATCACTGTAGGGATCGTTTTTTCTGACTCAATCCAGATAGTTGGATGAGTCATTGTTATTATTATTCAAGATTTCTAGTTGCCTGCCTAGACAAAGTAACAAAGAAACGGTAGAGTCCAAGAAAGGAGAGTGATTGTCTCAATGTGTAAAAATGTTCCTTGTAACTGGGGATAAAGTGAGTTGTATGGAAATCAGAAACCAGGTTGAAGGTTAATGGTTGAAAGTTCTCATACAGGGTCCAACAACGTTTAAGTTTCGCAATCGCTGACGAGGGTCACATCTTGAGTCCCCAGAAACTCCTCAACAGCATGCATTACCTCATCATCACTTTAAAAATGGTGACCACACAAGTGGGATTTTGATTTGGGAAACAGATAGAAGTCAGACGGTGCAGGCTGGGGGAGTAAGATGCATAAGGCAACAGTTCAAAGCCAGATTTGGCTGCTTCTGCCACCTTTGCTGTGTGGGTGGACCCATTGTCCTGGAGCAACAGAAGCAAGCTCAAAGTTTTTCTCACTTTTTTTCTGATTGCGTCAAACATTTGAGTTTTTGTGGACAGCTATAAGTGATAAGGATTTATGGTATACGGTTATGGCCCAAAGTGGGAGTTACACCCCTTGTTTCTGGTGTGAACCTGTTGAAGTACCCTCATTTGACCCCAACTTCATTTGTAGAATCTACAGTTCTGATGGAAGGTCGAGATTTGTCACGGTGGTGTCTTGTTTTCTCAAAACACATTCTGGTCCCTTTGGTTGAAAATCTGTGTTGCTCTTTGGAGGTATACATTCCTTGGGCCCTTTCCCAAAGGTACAGATTTCCCACTGTCATGACAACTGTGCCAAAGGGGGTTTGGATCACACATCTGGTATCTTGTCCTGATAACACAGGTAACGAAAGTCTGGAGTGCTGGTTGGTGTTTTGTGCCCTGTGGGACGTCTGCTGACCAAAGGGGGACACTAGAGCCAGCTTGAGTTTGAAGAAACTGCTTATTCTTTGTGTGACGCAAGTCATCTTTATTTGTTTGCATCTCAATCGTTGTCATGGTTGGTTGATCCCACAGCACCATCCCACCCCATTAAGATGTACGGGTAGACGGACAGGCGTGTCTGCACAGGGATAGACTTTGACAGCAGCAGAGAACCTGCTCCCCGATGTGACCTGGTCAAAATCCGCCAAGTACATCTTTATCTGTTGAATCCCTGCTACAACCCAGCAGCCGTATCCACTGTGAGCAATAACCCACACAGCTTCTGTTGTTGATTCAGCTATTCGCTCTCTGGGGAAAACAAGTATGTGGAACTAATTTCCGAGCAATCCATCAATTACTTGCAATCATCTTACTTTGAACCAAAGTGTTGTACCAACTGACCATCACTACAGCCACACCATTAACATGACTAAGAATGACTGGGGGTGAATCATTTTTTAATTACCTCTGTGTTCGTTTCCCTTACTGTGGTTTATGTATCTTACTATTTCAGTAGCCTCACTACAAACAGCCACACGAGTTTCTTTTACTGCCGCATAGCTGCAGTGAGTCACCCTGCTGCTGATCCATCTGGTGCCGGTGTGACCGCTGTGTCGGCTCTTGGCTGGGATGCAGCCGGCTGCAGGTTGGAGGGGAATCCACCGCCGGATTAGTGGCGGCGTTAACTACACCACAGGAGGAACTGCCAGCAGATGCCAGCAGCTTAACAGCACTACATTTTTGTCAAAACAAGAGCCTACATTTAAATGAAGAGACGGCTTTATTGTTTGTAAAATCCACTTTTATGTAAACATGTTTGGAGTGAATTTAGATTTCAGGCTATTCCAGAGTGATTAAGCTACTGACAAACTTTATATCGTTTTCTTTTCTCACTTAGATGGCAGCACATCTGGGGCTTGTTTCTGCTATAAGGCCAGTGAGAAAATGTGTCCCTTTCATGTCTCAACCTCCCTCTGCTCTCTACCTTCCTCTGTCAACACTCCCCGTCTCCTCATTTCTGCAGTATCACTCATTTTCCCCTTTCTGCTGCTTGTTGACCTTTATGTTGTTTTTATAAGTCTGTTGGCTCCACGTTCACGTTTTTGCCTTTTGTGTCAAAAGGGTTAGGGTGCTCCTTTCTTAAGTTACACGGATGAATAAATCTACATGACCTGAACTATTGAACTGTAGCTCAAAGAGTTATGGCTCCACTGCACTAAATACTCTTCCACTCCTCTTACTTCTGTTCTAAGCTGTATTTAGACTTGGGGTTATTGGTCACGTGCATTTTTACTGCCAGACAAGAATGCACTATCGAACCGATTCAGAACCAACATTTTCTTTCCTTTTATGTCTCTGCTTTGTCATAATTGTGTGTTTATAACAGGATTTTGCACTCATAGCCACCAACACCCAGACTTCTGCATCGCTGAAACCCATTTGTATGTATGGCATTTTAAGATATTTTCAAAAACATATACAATGGAATGCCTGTTTTATATATCCATTGGTCATATTGGCCAAAGTGTGACAGAAAAACAGTCCTGAAAATTGTTAGGTACATGAATTGACTCATTACATTTTTGTCAATAGTTCCCAGCGGTACCTGACAATAATTTGTAACAGTGTAATAACTGTG